CAGGCTTGTGAAGGCTGCTCTCTGCAGGCCTTCTGCCCACGAGGTGTGTTCACCACATGGCTCCTTCAGAGAGTGATTTCTCTGGACACACTGAGCCCGTACTGACGCCTGCCCAGCTGCTGAAACAACAACAATTCACTAGAACAATTAATCTGACCATGACTACACTAAAGGAGAACAAATATATCATTTTGAGGGATATTGGAATTGTGATATTCTTTCTCGTTATTACAGGGACTAATAATCTTTGCATCATTATTATGTTTATCTCTGAAATATAAAGTGTGGTTTGCCAGGATTTCTATAAAATGAACAGTCTGTAAAATATGATTTCTGGAGCACTACAGTACTAAATTCAGTATGGCATTTTGACAAATATTTCACCTCCTGCAGATATTGGACTAGTCCATTGCAATGACCATAAAAGTCTGATTAATGATTCAGCCCCAACTACACATTCTCATGTGTAATAATTCATATGTCTTATTTTATAAGAATTAACAGTCAACGAATGTACTAAGACAAAGGAAAACAGACTCACGTACCCTTCAGAAGAGACAAACTTGTGAACTTTGATCCTCTTGACCGCCAAAAGTAGCAAAAGTAAATCACAAAGGCGACGACAAGCTGCACACGGACTGACACTGGGGGTCAAAGATCAGTGGGCGTCTCTCATTCGTCCATATCACAGGGGTTGAAGGTGCAGACAGCGGTAATACTGCCTGGCAGGAATAGCCAATTCTGTAAGCCAACAATCAGTAAAGCCAGGCCCAGAATAGACATGAAGAGTCATGTTTCAGGCCAAAACAGCACATCACATGAAAAGTTATCAACAGGGCTCGACCCTGTAAACAAAACTACCTAAGATGATAACACAAATGTTCAAAGTCCCAATCAATAGCAGACAAACGGTCTAGGGTCACTCATGTTAAACTGTAGCAGGACTTGAAAGCAACAGAGAGTAAAGCTTCGCACAACAACAAATAACAAAAACAACACTATGGACTTGCTGTAACATTAGAAGTGTTTTGGTAGTTGAGCGATGCATCATGGTGATGCTCTGAGGAAGAGATGCAAAGCCTTATTTTACATTTGAGTGCATTCTCCTTCAGATGCCTCCCTTCCAAAACTTCTCCTGCGGAGAGTCTGTTTTCCTGTCTGGATCAAAGCTCAGAGGAGAGCTGCCTCTGTAAAATTCCACCTCTGTGATTTTAAAGCATGACTCAGATAAGCTTAAACCCTTTTCAGCGTGCTCCTCGCTGACCAGCTGGAACGGGTTAATGATATCCTGTTGTGACTTTACCACAGCAAAGTCTCCTTGTCCCTCCTTCAGTGGCTCTATCTCTAGGGGTGCTATGGTTTAGTTGTTGTATGTCATGACATATCTTGGGATGTAGCAACTTTGAAGAGAGCTTACATATTTGTTGACGTTTACAGGCTAGCAGGCATAAAGGGAACAACATGCCCCACCTCTGCTGGTTCCTGGACACATATGTCCGTTTTTTAATGCTGTGGAACCAGGAAGGAAACATATTGCTGAGAGGAAGGAGAAAGTTTACAACACTTCCCTGGCAATGATGAGCACAAGCTTCCACTCACAGTCTGTTTATCGGGCTGTGTGAAACAGTTACATTGTTTCCATCCACAGCATTACATCCTCACATATCTTTATGAATCAGAAGTATTGTACTGATTCGCTCACTCCCTAGGCCTTTCATTTGTTGAAAAATAATTCAGGTATCCATCCGCTGATTTGGACCAATTTTGAAATGGATGGGTTCAATAAGTTTCATGAAAATTAGGCCAGTATCAATCAATCAATGTTTATTTATATAGCCCAATATCACAAATGTTACTTTTGTCTCAGTGGACTTCACAGTAGTTTTTTTCCTGTTCTCCTTGTGACAAAGAGGAATTGAAATCATTGGCAATGGTAATGATTTTACAGTAGGAGCAACTTAAAGACTGAAGTAAGCACTGAGACTTGTGGGATAATCTTGCAGGAGACTTTAAATGGAATAGATTAGATCTAAAAGAGGAGGTATTATTTTTAGGTTTTCTTTCATCATAATTTAGGCCTTGATGGCTTTTTTTTTTTATCTCCACACCGTTTTTGAATTAAACTCCAGTAAAGCTGTTAATTACAACCTAAAAATAAAAGGCTGGCACAGGCATTGGTAGTTGTAAGCTGAAGCGGTGCGGATGCCATGGAGCTCTTTTCAAACACTCCGCCCACAAACAAAGTCTGTTTAAAAAATGTGGAAGTTTGTATGGACTGTCAATGTCAACTGAAGTGGTTTGATACACCAATATCTCATGGTGGTTACAGGGAAGTCCAGGACATTAGTTGTATTTGTTCGTACAGCCTTGTGATCTGCAGATGTTTGTATGTTCTCTCCGCTCTAGGGTGACTGTGTTTGTTGGAAGGAGGAGAACATGATTCAGAGTTAAACCTGTAATCACTGGGCTTCAGAACAGAAGCCTTGCAGCTACGTCTACAAAAAAGCACTGATAAACTATCGCCAAAAGAGTACTTGTCTCTTGAGAAATACACTGTTGACATTGTCTTTCCATATATTTATAACAAGGCATATGAAATACAAAAAAAAACTAGGAGGGGAATTCCAGTAAGAAGAGAGTACAGTGGTTGCTGTTTGCGCAAAGAGGTTGTTGAACACCGGGAGCATAAATCACATGCAGCATCAGTATTTAGAACAAAAATGTTAAGGATGATGTTTAGATGTTACATGGGCGTAATTTCCACTGGGGACAGGGGGGACATGTCCCCCCCACTTTTCAAAATCCTGTTTGTGTCCCCCCCACTTTTCAAATGTGTTTATTGTTATTTTTTTACTCAAGTGCTCATCGTCACGGAGGAGCGTCTGTGTGTGTGTGGCACGAGCACTTAGATTGTAAACTTTAGTCCAAGTTATGTCATGGGTCTCAAACGGTTTGGTCATCTATGTAAAAAAATATTTCCATCTATTTAATATAGTTGTTCAAAATAAGTTAAGAAATCATTCCAATGTCCAGTAAAAAAATAAAAAACACAGTTTAAAAGGGGAGTGATTAGTCAAATATGCATAAATAAAAAGAAAGAATGCAGACTAGGTAAGATAGGAGAGAGGAGTATATCAAATATTTGTTATTGGTTGTGAGCATATTCTAATTGTTTTTGGAGTATTGAAATATATACAGTTCTGTTTCATATGACTGTTGAGAGCTTTATCCATAAATCTCTTAATTTCTGCACCAGATTGATGCCTTTAACTTTAATTTAAAGAAACAAATCTTCCCGGGGTGCATGCCCACGGACCCCCCTAGAGGATGTGAGGTCATCACAAATAAAACAGGTTCACATGGAAAGGACACTAGATAAGTTTCTGCACTCATTATATACACTACACATTTTTCTTGGATTCTTTAACAGCATAGTCCCTATATATATTTGCAGAAAGGCAGGAAATGGAATTAAATCGAGAACAATGTTTCATTGCGGAGGACCCCCTGTTTTGTCCCCCCCCCCACTTCTCAAACCAAAGTTACACCCTTGTGTTAGCATGTTCACTGGCAAAATCTTTCTGCAATAAAATGTGGATTTTACAGTCTGATATAAGGGTAAGCTGTATCCTAGACAGTGTTAAGAGTAGACAGGAAATGATTGCTCACACAGCAATGGGAAGTAGAGCTCACTGTTTGTCTGACTCTGTTGACCCTCCTTAAAAATGTTGCTTAACAAATCATGCATCATCTTGCAAGATGTATGAGTCACACTGGACTGAGTTCATGCGGCATGTGGAAACGTGGGAGGTACAAGCTTTTTTTCTGAATGAACCGGAAAAAAACATGTTTTTTCCTGCTTCATCAAGAAACCGGTGTTTATCAAAAGTTAATCTGTGTATTTGATCAATAGCAGTGGCTATGTTTCCTTGCCTGTAGACACACTAGAAAACATTAACAGTAGCAGTTTCTGTTTAAGCTTCATTCAGTAACCCGACAGCACCACACCTTGCTTTAATATGCAGTGTGTGCCATTACAACCACAGAGACAGGAGGAGGGCTTTACTTTACAGTGTGAAAGCTGGTGGAGTCAGAAGAGTTTATGAGCCTGTTGACAGAACAGTTTTTACATAAGGGTTGGATTTTTTTTTAAAACAACAACAACAACCAAAAGCATTAGCATGGGATTACAATCATCTGGATGTACCTGTTCCTTTGAATTGAAAGACAAACTGTGAATCCAGTTTTGAATGGGTTGGCCGGGAGGCATGTTTGAAAGTCAGTGATGTATGCCTCCATGTGATTTAGCATACACATCAGCATGACAAAAATGCAGGTTACACAATAACCTTTGTGTTATCACGTAACAGAGAGAACCCCAGAAGATACCTAACTCTTCTCAGACAGCGTCCTCAACGCGATTATATTAAAACACGAGATTTAACACGTGTTCATTAAACTTCCCCAAAAAAATGCCTTGCTTTAAAGCCATGTTTCAGAACAAACTGCATACGCTCATAATTAGCTTCCTAGTTGATACAAAGAGTAATACCGGTGTAAACTGTGGGTTTCTTTGATAAAACAGTTTAAGCGAAAACTTGTAATACAACATTGCCGGGGTCATAGCCAAAAACTTGATGGAGTTGCAACCACAGGTAACATTTTCAAATAAGGACAATGCACTTCTGTCAAGTGTCTCAGTCACTTAGGAAAGACATAACAAATAAGGTGTAAAACAAAAGGACTTGCCACATATATCAGTTAGAACTCTCCTTCTTTCCAGTGTTTTTGGTCACACGCCGTCCTGAAGTGTGTGTGTGAGCAGTGTGTCGGTCCTCAGTCCCTGACAGCAGGCAGCAGTGTTTCTGTGCAGCTCTATGGAGCAGCTGGGTCCAGTGTTAGAGGGCGGGGCTCAGGACACATCCCTGAGCACAGCTATGTATGCAGAGCAGGGCTGCTGTGAGTTCTCTTTCATCCAGAGGATCCACACTTCCTCTTGCCAAACACATAGTTCAATACTTATCCGACCACCCGCAGTCTGCTGATAGCCTGCTGGACAAAATGACTACTTACACAACAGGTTGGATTCATGGGGTTTAATCTTCATAGACTATATTCATTTAAACTTACTTTTTAATGTTAGAAACTGAATAAAAACTAGATTATTAAATACTAACATGTTTGTAAAAGCCTGTTCATGAGATTAAACTGAAATGTCGTGATGTTTATGAATTGTATGAAGAAATAGCTTAGACTCAGGCCAAATAAGTGGGAATATAAAGAGTGAAACCTATTTCTGATACAATACACGGGCCTTTCAGGTGTAGCTCCTCATTTTTGCGCCTTGCCCGGACCATAGTCAACACATTACACATTTTACAGCGTGTCAGCAGAAACTACAGTCCACGCAGCACATGGACAAAAGCATTGAAAATCTGAAAACGAGTGGGCAAAAAATGGAGACCCTGGTCTGAATATCTTTACCATGAAAGCAAATGTCGCCATCTTGAGGTCAGACTGTGAAACTACAGGAGACCAGTTAAGACTCGGAAATACGTTGAGCCCCGGGGAAATTGGAGTAGGTCGCCAGTTGAGTTGCTTCGATTGTAAGTTATTGAAACATTTTAAATACAAATGAAATACAAAATAGTATGTCAAATATTTTCGATGTACTTCAATAAATAGTATTACAATAAAATGAAAACAATATAAAAACGTATAACCAGTGTGTTGCACGGTTACAATAGTATTATTATTATTATTATTATTATTATTATTATTATTATTATTATTATTATTATTATTATTATTACAGGGCATAAATGTTCACCAAAAGTAAGAAAACACATTTCCTCACTAACCCATGGTAATTGTGACTTAGTTTGTCCACGTTTTAGATCTTTAATTTTTCTTTCTTGTTCCTTCTTTTCCTTAAACATTTTTCTACGCAATTCAATGGAGATTGGTGAATTTTTCTTTTTAATTATCACAGCTTTTGAACATGTTGGAAACAGTGCTTTAACTTCAGAACACACGTTTATTTTTTACTGAAATAGCCACTTTGGCTAATTTATTAATTACATTTAGAAACGATTTTTTTCATATATTCCAGTTTAAACCAGCTTCAGCTACTTTGAGTTGGTACCTGTTTAAGAGACGTTATGCATGAGGTGATGACCTCTCTGTGACGGATATCAGCTGTGGCGCTGTTTGTTTCTCAGCATCCCAGCCACACCCTCCTCACAGTGCAGCAACAGCAGCAGCAGCAGCAGCATGGTGATGAGGATGAGGATGGGGATGCAAGTCGCACTGCTTTTGGCTCTCACGGCTGTCTGCAATGGAATCCTCCCTGAGATAGTGTACTCAGGCATCAGTCACATCCTGCTGGATAATTCGGTCCAGGGAGGCACGGAGCAGGACAGCACGTTTGTGGAAGTGGAGCAGCTGCCAGAGGATCTGCAGCACAAGCCTGAGGATGCGTTTCATCAAGTAGGCAGACAGTTAGTCAGCATCTAGTTTTTACATGACATGGCATTATTTCACTGCTCACTTCAGATCAAGTGTATTTGTATACATAGTTGGCTGGTATAATGAGATCTATTTTTAGTGAGGAATAGACAGTTAAAAAAAGCAGCAGTGGCGGAGCTAGAATATGGGAGTGACTTCTTAATGCATAATTTTACCTCAAATCTGTATCTGATCATCTCTCCAATTCTTCTAGAAGGACAACGAGAGTGACAGTTCCAGCCCTCATCTCAATAACCTTCCTCCAAGTCATCACAACGAAACTGCTTCTGATAATGAATCCGTCCACACCTCAGTAGAACGGGTACGTTTAAAAACAGTAAACAAAAGTGAGATTGTGCTTGTTTCCCTTTGTGAATGAAACCTAACAGATGTCCCATCTTCACAAAGGAGACGAACCACATTACAACAGACACCCAGTTCAGTGACCTGGGGAACAATATTGATAATGTAAGTTTACCTATGGTCTTATATAATATGGACCAGAACACACATCTATCTTTAAGTAAAAAAATGATCAATATGTCTTAATGTCTGCCAGCATTAAACAGCCATCTACTTGGGATAATGCCCAGCTGATAAAAAGTGTGTGTAGGATGTGCAGTGTGTTCCTGTAATTATGCAGTGCATTTTTCAATGTGCTGACTGGCTTTTGGGGGAATTCACTTCACGGAAAAGCTTCCTATGCAAGTTATCATATTGCATCTTGATAACTTTTACATTTTTATTTTTAGAGTTTGTTTAACACACCGGATAAAAACTATTACCTGAATGACCTTGTCAGAATAATAATGATGTGGATCATCAACTTAGCATATTGCAAGTCTATATTTGTATTGTATTAAAAAATGTTTTACTTTGTTTAATGGCAGAAGAACTGGATTCTGTTTACCTACTGTACGTACTTTGGGACACTAGTCTGTCCCAGTTTCAAGAGTTAAAAATAAAACTCCTTATAAATATGTGGCAGCTTTAAATATTCAATAAAGAGTCACATTATAAACTGATGGGTGGGCAGACATTTTAAGACGGATATTTGCTTTGCATATTTTACAATAAAATGCATCATTTGAGTATTGATTGATTTGAGTAGATCATCAGGAAATCACGCATGTTCATGGAAACATAGACAACCTTCTTATTCCATGTGTTGGAGTTAGAAGTAAATCCTCTCTCTTGTGTCTAGGGATGCAGTGCTGATGGAGACTGTGGGAAGGACCGATATTGCCATCATGACACACACAACTCCAAGTGTCTGCCTTGTAAAGCAATCGATATGGTAGGTGAACTTTAGTAAATTTATGTGGACGACTGCACTATTTTGGTATTTATTTTCTCTAAAATGTTGCTTTCAAACACACACACACACACACACACACACACACACACACACACACACACACACACACACACACACACACACACACACACACACACACACACACACACACACACAGTCCCTTCTGGCGGGCTGGGGTTTCACTCGGACTGCATTGCAGCGTGTCCACAAGTGTAACCGGAGTGTGTTGTTTGTGAACACTCTGTCCTATGAGGTGCACATGAAAGAACATCATGTGTCAAGGTTAAATATGAGCTCTTCTTTACCCGCTGCTGTCTCTCTCAAAGGACGTCTACAACTAAAATATTATCAGTAATGAAAGTCTTCTCTCTAGAGAGTCAGCCATTGGTTTTATTTAAGACTACCCTACTGCTGCTTATTCTGTAGTGTCTTCATTGGATGAACTATGTAGCAGAGAGAAGCAGTGCAAAGAGATGAATATGCTGGCAGTCTGCCAAACACCGATACAGTGTACATTGATAATAAATACATAGAGGACAGGATCTGTGTCTCGGTAAATATGCTGCACTGGAAAACTCTGCATGGAAATAACCAGAACACTGTTGCCCGCATCCCCAAATTAACAATTCATAAAGGTTGTGTAGGAACAAGTTCTTATCTTACTGCTATCAGAGACCAGGTGACCCACGGATCTCATGTATATTTAATTTACAGAATTAGCAGACCTCACGCTAGAGATAATTATTGTCATTCACAGGGTGAGTTTCAGCCTTTTTAAACGCATGCCATGAGCTAATCTTTGTGACTTTAAGACACCTGTGTCACAAAGATAATTTGATTAACCATACTAACATCTTGGCTGTGTGGTGATATCATAGACTGTATACAGTAGGTAATTCCTGTGTAAATGCAAGGTTAGGAAAATTAAAAACATTGACTGAAATGATTATTGCAGAGAAAAATATTTTCTATACACCAAATGCAGCTGCCCGGCGTATCCAAGACTTGTATTTCAATCCTTTATAAAAAAAATAGCCCTGATGCATGCGGTACAGTGCAGCTGCGATTAGCGGTTATACATTGTTATTTTCATATTGTCATGTTGTCTGTACATCAATGTTTTCTTTTTCTTATTTTTCTTTGCGTCCATTTCCTTGCTTCTCTACATCATATAGAGCCATCTAGTGGTAAAACGTTGCATTTGTCACCTGTGAGTTGTTTTGCTTTTTTTGAAGGTATTTTCATTCATCTTGTATATCTACTAAAGGTTACACCCTGAATAAGATGTGTGTGCTCACGCATTGCCTATTTATTAATGCCACCATGAAATAGGAATTTGATTAAGGTTTTTATCACTTTTTGTCAGAAGAGTGCTTTTGACCTTTCTGCTTAAACCATTTTCTGTCTATTCTCTCAGTCCTGCACTAAGGACAAGGAGTGCTGTGGGGACCAGCTGTGTGTATGGGGTCAGTGCAGTGTGAATGCAACAAAAGGAGAGGCGGGCAGCACTTGTGAACATCAGACCGACTGCAGCCCGGACCTCTGCTGTCTTTTCCACAAAGGTACAGTTCAGCACACTGTTCACTGTATGCTGCTAAACTATTCTCTCTCTCGCAACATGTATCTGTGTGTGTTGTCCTTGTGTTCAGCGCTGCTCTTCCCTGTCTGCTCGACCAAGCCCATAGAGCGTGAGCGCTGCTTTGGGGCCTCCAACCACCTGCTGGAGATGCTGTCCTGGGACGTCCAGGACGATGGACCCAGGAAACATTGCCCCTGTGCAGGAAATCTCCACTGCCAGCATCTGGGGTGAGTGAAGTACATAATAGCATATCATTGTTTTTGACTAATCTATTCTCATAAAATCATTACAAATTGACATTAAAGGAATCCTTCACCCTCTGAGTTATCATTTGTTTATAATTACGCACCCAGTTTTACCTTGAACTGTGTTTTTGTCCCATGCCTCCAAGGTGAGTAACAAATCCAAAAACTGAAGAAAAGTATTGTATGAATTAAAGTAAATGGGGGCAGCGTTCAACAACAGCAAAACTACATCAAGCATCCTTTTACAAACCTCCACAACGTGTGTTACACAATCCAAGTTTGATTTATATCATCATATGTTCACTACTTTCAAAACATACAGCACACCTGCTCCAACGTGACTTTTTAAGCGTATGCCATAGTAAGGTTTAGTGAAAAAGCTTATGTTTTGGAAGTAGTGATTATACAACTGAGTAAATTAGACTTTATGAGATTATATCGCACATGTTATTAAAGACAGCCTGCTTGTAGTAAAGAGTGTTTTGTCCCTTTTTGGATTCTTTATTTACGGCGGAGGCACTAGAAATAAACATTTTCTTCAATAACTAAAGGACACACGGTGTAATCACTCCATTTAAAAACGGTTGACGGGGGAAGTATTCCTTTAAAGCTTTATATGCATTTTACTAAATGTCTTTATCCCCAATACTACACTGAGGTGCTCTGCTTTTCGACAGGCGAGGGTCCATGTGCCTTAAAGGAGAGGACTCGAGTGAAGAGGAATTGACAGACAGTCTGTACTCAGAGATAGACTATATCATCTGACCCTGGGGTCCCCACTGACTCCACAGCTTTGTTGCAAAGAGCATTTGCACTTTCTGTTTGCCAGCTTAATCCAAAGTGGTCAAGATACACAGCATGGAATATGAACAAAAATATATATTTTGAATTTGCTATTATTTAGACCTGAGGATAAAGGTAGATATAAAAAGGTACTAACAAAAAACAGAAATCATTATATTTGCAGTCCTGTGTGGATAATATTCCTCACTACTTAATGCATCATCTTAACTTCAACCCTTATCTAATGTCACAGCCATTCAATGGACAGTAACACAATACATCTTCTAGACACTGTATCTCTGTTGACTATTCACCTCACATCAGCTTTTTCTGTCATCTGTATGACCTATTACAGCTGATATCATGTTGAATTAGCAGCACTGCATTTTCTCAATTGAGACCAAAATAATACACCCAGTTTGCAATACGAGTTAACTAACTATGCACCAGGAAGGATGCACTGTGTACTGAATAGTAAAAGAAAAAAACAGTATCACAGGAGCATGCAATAATAGTATTATGTGAAGCTTTCAAGACTCCCTTGAGCAATACTTGTGTATGTCAGCACTCTGTGAAAGTATTAGGTTAACATGTAAATAGACAGTTGGTCATATTGCCACCCAGGACGCTCATTTGCTTCCTTGTGTGAGTGAGTGAATCTAATATCAATCCCCTGAAGGTATTCGGACCAAACCTCTTTTTCCTCTTCATTTTCCGTTAGCATTCCTGATGAAATGTTTTGGTTGCTTGATCCTAGCAATATCTGCTAAGTACTTATTATAGTAACGACATATACTGTACGCACAACAGGAGGAAACACTTTCCAACGTGCCACGTTGTTATATTTACTGTATGTATATATATTAATTGTATAATGTGCTTTTCTTGTGTTTATGTTTTTTCCTTTTCTATCAACTTATTTTAATTGTCTTTCAAGCAATATCTCGTATGTAACAGCGTGTCAACATATCAGATGTTGGTTCAACAACTGCTTATTCAAGTAAAATAATTAAACTATAGTCAACGGGACTTGGACCTTGTTTGAAAATGTAACAAATCCTGTATTAGCACTAATAAAATCGTATATTCTGAATACATTTATATTAGTTAATTTGTACTTTTTTGAATTCTCATCTATTAAATGTGGAAATATTAAAATGACAAAGCAATAACTGTTCTCTAACAATCACTTATCAGCCCAAAGATCTGGATCATCTCATCTAAAGTTATAATACTTTTATTTCATTTTGAGTTTTCATGTTTATGTGTGTTATTTTCAGATAACCTAATCAAGTTTTGATTTGTCAATGAGCTGTTGTCCACGCCTGTATCTCCAGCTAATGTGTTACACCTCATGTATGTGTTCTGTGTCTGCCATGTACAATGTGACTTCAGCATCCCGACAGGAGGGTGTGAAACAAATACAAGCTACAACTGATGCGAGTGTGAGTACAGCCGTTGTACTAGGAACTTGTGCGTGGTGTTAACTTACAAACAGCTCAAACTATCAAACATAACCTCTGTTTGAAGAACCCTTGCCTTTAGATAAATAAAAGTATATTGAGCACCAAAACCCCTTTTCCTAAAAATTTGAGTAGGATTTGTGAGTTAAATTGAGACATTTTTTATTTACAGTTACAGAAAACTGCAGTTATGGGAAAAAAAATCTTTTCAATTCATTTCTAAAATCATCTTAAACTATTTTCACACAGGATTTAAATCTCAAGAAATAAACACAAAAAAAAAAGTTATTGGCATTTCTACAGTGAATAGCTGGTGGCAGCATCAGGAGCCCAGAGGGGCCGCGATGCCGAGCTTCAGTCCGGCTTTCTGCACCCTCTGGTGTCAGTCTATAGAGCAGCAGCAGGTAGAAGCGCCAAGAACAACCTCACACTGTCAAACCCCACAGAGAGCTCCCTCACACACACAGTAGAGATGTACACCCAGTTCAAATGATGAAAACAAAAACAGAAATCCACTTTCTTAATTAAAGGTTAATACAGACAACAGATGTGTGCCCGGTGCCTAATGACACTTAAATGAATGATAACGCCTGGAGCAAAATAATAATTTACAACAGACACAAACTAGACAAGGAAATTGTTAACATAGTTGTCTCGGTTCTGTCTCACTGAACTTTGTATTAAAAGGTACCGATACGCTATGCATCATTCAATCTAGTGGAAGTGGTGTAAGAGAGGTAAAGGTCCTATAAAGCACAAAGAGCAGCAGTCAGGAAAACCCATATCAACATATTACTCCGGCTTTTATAGAAGCAGAAACAACCTCAGGATTACAAATTCTTAAATTGTTGCTTTTTGATTCTTCAAATCTGGTGAAAGAAGTTGTCAAAGTCACTGAGAGAGAGAGTGAGGTTTGCCTCACCGGAAGAGGTGAGACGGAGGAAGGCTGGATAAGTAGTTCTTGGTTGTGTGTGCTGTTGGTTTTTAATTGTTTGAAGGAAGGAGAGCGATGCATGTAAGAATAATTTCTGTAATAGAGCAGAGCTCGGGGGATGTGAGCATATGGACTTACAAGATGGCCACTGATGAATCAGAATCAACTCTATTCCTGAAACAGGAAGAGAAACACAGTGACGAGGAGGAGAAGTGAGAGGAGACTGAAATAGATGTGATGGATGCTTTCTAGCTCAGTTTCACAATCCTAACATCTCTGGAGCTTTCACGTTCAATTGATTTGTCTTTATGGTATTTGATTCTTTATCTGTATTCAATAGCTTTTGTACTTCCCTTTAAACTTTACAGTACAATACACTATAGTGCACAATAGGGTTTCTGAACCAGTCCTGGGGCTCAGAGTGGAGGGTGTGAGCTCATTAGCCTCACAAAGCTGCTTGATGTTCAAGTAAGTGTCAGGCCGGACTCTCAGTCCTGCAGCCTGGAAGCTCTGCTGCTGCAGCCGGACATCCTGATGGGAGGAGCGCGGCTCACTCCTCAGTCCTGCCCCGGGTCCTTGGGTGGGCCCCCGTCCAGGTAGATCTTGAGGGCCTTCTCCTTGCGCGGCGAGTAGCTGACACGGTGTCCGGTCTTTAGCAGACGGCTGCTCTCCTTCTTCATCAGCTCACTGCGCTCCTCGTCCGACAGCTCCATCGGCTCCTCTGAGCTGTGCCTGCATAAAGAGCACAGTGATGTTCATCCCAAGTCACAAATTCATTCTTATCTAAGGATCTACATAAACCCAATATTCACAGGATCTTATCGGCTTCGCTCCAAGGACTTGTTTCTTCCAACTGTACCAAAAGACGGTACTGAACTGGGGAAGAGGGCGTTGAGTTGCTCCTGTGGCTTGGAACCAGCTGCTAATCGAGCTGAAACTCAGAGCTGGTTTCTTTAAAAAGACTCAAAACGACTCAATGACCTTGAAACAAGCCGCTGTGGCTGTAAATGCTTTGGCTCAACTTGTTGTATGACTGTGTTTTGGTGGTGTTTTAAAATTGTCTGTAACTGTGCTATCTTGTGCCAGGACTTTCTTGAAAAAGAGACTTTTAATCTCAATGAGACCTATCCTGGTTAAATAAAAGGTAAAAAAAAAAGTTTCAAATTGTATATTTTAAGAAGCTTAGAGTCAGCTTTTTTCAGGAATATTTACAAATTGTATTCTGTATGTATATAATATATAGAAAGTATATTTAATACTATGCAATATCAATATTAAGGATTAGATAAACCAATTTAACACATACAACAAATGTTCCTTTATTTGTAGAAGTCTGCACTCCAGGTTTTACATGTAGTTCTTGTCAGTTCTTGAGTGTGTGCTGTGATGGTTTTACCTGAAGAAGACCACAGCTCCGTCGTCACAGATGTACAGAGGCCACACGTTGAGAGTCGACACCTTGGGGTTCCAGTCCAGATCCTGATGGATCTCCAACACGGAAATATCACAGGGAAATGTTCCTCTACCCTGTTCACAGGAGAAGGATATATCCTCAGTAACAGACACTAAGAACAAAACAAGTGTCATTTGTCTACAAGTATGATATTTATGTATATCTCACATACCTTTGCAAACTCCAGGTTCTCCAGAGGAATATCACCTAATTCACTTAGCTGCAAACGGAAGAAGGAAATTAGTTTAAAAAAGCCAATGAAAGCTACAATTTAATTGTGAAAGTGTAATGGTGTTCAGTGATAATGAGTGTGCATGATTCATGATTATCTCACTGCAAAATAACAGTTTGTTTGTGAACAGCAGTGAAAATGAACAGACACGTCACCAACAATCACAGTGTTTATTATGACATTTATTTTATTTTTTCGTGTTTCGTTTAGCATTTCTTGCATTTTAGTGTTTGTTAACTAGGATAAGATCATTGTAACTGTTTTAATGGTTAAATAACAGACACTTGGATAAGTAAAAAAGAACTGAGAAGCATCCAGCAGCACACATACCTTCTCCTTGAGTTCTTCCACATTGCTGCTCTCTAGGATAACTTCCTGGAAAGGCCCCAGCTTCATAGTAGAGGGGCTCCACCTCCGGCTCAGGACCGCCAGCTGCGACATGGACTTCATCTTCTCCGGTTCTGAGACACAAATCATGACAGACCGTCGATACAGGACATTGTTTCACCTCGAGAAAGAACATGTTTCCCTGCAGGATGATACTAGCTTTATCTGCAGCTTCAAATCATGGGTTTCCAAAATCAAATGACAATATAATTGAGCGATTTTTTCTTCAATGTGACATTTTCAAGAGTGTCTCGAAAAAACAGATCATCTCCCCTTTTATTGGTTTAGTTTCTCAAATTAGAACTCACTTTTAGTTCTGCTTCAACATATAGCTTCTCAAGATACAAACTTTATTTAATTGTGGTTATTATTACACATTATAAAACGGACAAGTCAAATCAAGCAATCTGATTGGTTCTTAGCCGTGATATAATGAGCGTATACCACGGGTAGAATTGTAGTTACTTTTCACAACAAGTCAGTATCCCTCCGCAATCTGAGAAAAACTGTATACAGTTGGGCTGAAAAGCAAACTGCCTGCAGACTGCAGTTTGCTTTTCAAACTGGAACAAGAAAACAGCGGAGAAGTAACGGGGCAGAAACCCTCCTTTTTACGCAGCGGTCCAGACATAGACATCAAACGGCACAATATATTCAGTGTGCAGTTCCTTTGGCATTAGGGCAGGGATATCTAGATACTTTCCAAGGTTTGACATAATGAATTGTGCTACTTTTAAAGCAAGTAACGATGTTTTCAAATCTGTAATCAAAAAGGTCCGCAAAAACGCTATAGAAGCAGTTCCTACCGTTGCTACGTAGTTCAAACAATAACAACGGACTATTTTTGATCTGCCTGTCGGGGATTCTTTTACCCATAATGAGTATTATTGTGTACTATTGCTTAATTAACCCATTGTACTGTGGTTAAACCAAACTGCAGATTGAGTGTTACCATTGAGAACTTCCAGGAAGACCTCCCAGTTGGAGGAGATGCTGATGTCCTCTTCATAGACGTGGTAGTCCAGAAACACCGTGCCTGGGTTCTTCCAGGTCTTTTTCCTGAGACGGACACTAAGCACACACAGACACAAACATTGTTCGGTAAGAACACCTACACTTTGTCATAGTTTTCTTTTTATATAAATGTGTTATAACAAAGTCTCACCTCTCGATGCTTAGGTCGAGCTTGCAGTGCTCTTTTAGCTGAGGGAGCAGCTCCTCTTTGGACTGCCTGACCGTCATGCCCTTGGCGAACACCGTGTCCACCAGGAACTTACACGGCTGGAAACAGAGACATGGATACATTTGCAATATTTGTGACAGTAATTTAGACAGGTCATATCAGTCACTATCTTTTTTTAGCACAGGGAGAGAAACAACTCTTACCTCCGTTTCATTCACTAGTAGCTGATACACTTTCACTCTGTATTCACCCTTTTTCAGTGCTCTCCCTAGTCGAATAGTTATCTACGGGAAGTAATGAAATGCAAAGTTAAGTCATGTATTGGCTCACTCAAACTCAAACGTACTTCAAATTGGCAAATCAATTCTGGATGGGATCCTGACCTTGTTATCGTCAGAGAACGATGAGAGGGTTTCATTGAGCCGTACACTCTCAAACTCCTGGTTGTTGGCGTACACCCGGAACACCTTGAACTGGGTGGAGGCGACTCCCACGTAGGGCTCCATGTTCTGTTTGAATGCTGCTAATGTTATTCTCTTGTCCACGTGAACAACTACACCTGAAGTAGATAAAAAGAAACAAAATGAATGAAACATTTGGTCCGATGTTCTGCCCTCCTGATGAAGGAATACGCATGTTGTTGTGTCACTTGCGAGATATTACTGAGATGTCAGCTAGAGATGCACAGACCGCACATTTCCTGATCGATTTTGTGACCTGCCAATTCAGATTTTTTCTGATTCAAAATGTTTCTAAGAACTACAATTGACAATATACACAAAACATGTTTGTATCTTTTCTGATAGGAAAATGTAAAATGAAAATGGTATGTTCCTGGTGAAACATGACCAATATAGATTTTTTCTTTCAAACTGTACTAACTTACAGAACCTTCTTGATTTTAAGGTTTTCATTTCTGCATGGCTTATTTTGGACTTGCCGGTCTTAAATAACAAATTGCACTTGAGTACATATTTTTTCTTATTCCTTTAAACTGCACAATAAATAGGAGGTCCATACATTTTTGTGCATCCGATGTGGCGTCCTCCGGAGAACACGGCTCTGCTCTGAAGAAGAGGTACTGAGCCTCTGCCTTGATCTTCCCGTTGTCGTCGTACTCGCTGTCCGTCCCTGAGTCTTCTTCAGCCGTGTCCCAGGTCTCCTTCTTGCCCTCGTGGGCTTTGGAGCGGCGGCTGCTTGTGATGCTGTGAGAGTCCAAGCCGTTGGCCAGCTGTATGGGCCCGCTGTCCGCATTGCACAGAGTGTCACTGCTGTGGCTGGAGCTCAGGATGTCGCTGTCCACCGAGCTGGTGCTGCGGTCGTTGTTCACCTCAGAGTCCGAGCGCTCCTCGGAGGCAAAGTGGTTGTCGGGGTCCGAGGAGGCGCCGCTGCTGCCCCCGGCCCTGATCCGGTTCTCTAGCTCCCTGTTGTCTGCAGCCACACAGAGCGAAGAGTTTGAGTCTGCCTCCTGGCTCGGGGACTCGATATGTTCAAAGTCGCTGGCGTCAGAGCTTTTCTGGCTGTCGCTGGTGCCCTGCTGCTGCTGCTGCTGCTGCTGCTGCTGCTGCTGCTGCTGCTGCTGCTGTTGCTGTTGCTGCTGCTGTTGCTGCTGCTGCTGCTGCAGCAGAGACAGGCTCTTTAACTTCTCTGTGTTCTCCTCCAGGATCGCCTCTACTGATTTTCTGTCACCCTTTGAACCCTCTAAGGGCACATCAGAGTCAGCTCCTTCTTTTTGGCAAGGAGTCCTGTTGGCCAAGGTACCAGGAGACTGCTCAGGCAGCGAGACCAAGAGCCGGATCGTGTTTCCGTGACGATCCAACAGTTTCCACAGGAGCGAGTCAGTGAAAGCAACCTGATGATCCGTCGACTCGGAGCTCTCTACAAAAACCTGAGGAAAAACAAATTGAAACACAGGTTAAAACTCAAAAGTGCTTAAGACGATTTGTTGATACATAACTGGCACTAGTATTTGGCAAAATTATAAAGAAAAATTTGCAAAATCTGTGAAATTAGTTCAGCAAGACATACTTTAGTATTATTTTTGTTGTATTGTTTTTTTGTTTTACTTTGAGAATCTGAGAGTCTAGTGTGGAAGATGTATATCCCACAACACAATGGAAAAAAACCCACAACAGCTCATAGATTGAAATGAAATGTAAAACAAAACATGTCGTGACCTTGTTGCTTCTGAAGAACCCTTCAGCTTTAAGTGTCTTGTTTGGAACATACAGGAGCCGAAGGTCGTTATAGCAACGCTCCAGGACGACACGCATGGCTTCTGCAGATAGCCCGGTAGCCTGGAGAAACAAACAAGTCTTCAGTCACATTTTCACTCTTTACAGTTTTCTGTGCTGATGATTAAAACAGAACGTTGAGGAATGAGGAGAAGATGTGGTGTAGGAACTGAGGAGAGAAGGAAACCTGTGCAATAAGCAGTTTGAATTCAGTGATCGACTGGTTCAAATAGGCCCGGACACTGATTGGAGTGGCGATGCTCTCAGTCTTCAGATCCACAACGTGAACCTTCACCATCACCTCTGCAGAAAGTCATAAAACACAGTCACAAGGAAATAAAGCAAATATATAGCTTGGTATTCTGACACATCTACATCTATTGGCTCGTTTCCCTCAGAGTTGTATATAATCATTCAGGATTTATTGGTCTCATACTTCACAAAAAAGGACCTTTGCGGCACTGGCTATGAAAAAACAAGTATGAATAAAACGTAGCAGGCTGTACTGACCTCCAGGTTTGTAAGGCTGGAACACTTGCTCTGGTTTGCGGATCTCCAGCAGCAGGTCGAACATATACGAGGACTTGACTCCTCCGAGCAGCATGCCCATGGGTGTGTCGTCCTCCCCTTCGTAGGAGCGCTCCAGGTACTCGTGGAACTCGTCGTACTTCACCAGGCGGCAGCAGTCCAGAGGCACAGCTCCATCCAGCTCCATCAGCTGAAGCACAGAACACGTACAGTGTTACTACACAATAATACCTTTTTTAAACTACGATATTTAACACTCAGAGGTCGAGTTGTTGCAAAGTCAGATGGTCGTTAAACCTTGTAGGCCATTTCTGTTGCTTCTCTGAGAGTTTTGTCCTTGTGTACTTCCAGCTTGCTCTCCATCATCGTCTTCACAGGACGCATGCAGAAAAGCTTTATCTGGAGATCAAATGGAAGAGAGCGATAAGAGTTCAACTTGTTTTAATAGAGAACCTTCATTCAGACACAGACAATAGATATTAAACGGATCTAAAAAAGGTACCTTGCAAGTGTTGCGCTCGATCTCCCTCTGTCGCTTTTCTTGCTCTTCAGACTCTTTCTCCTTCTGAACCAAACTCTTGACGTGCTCTGGGAAGTCCTCCGCATCGAAATACTCTGCAGACAGGACGGACAGGATACACTTTAGACAGACAGGATACACTTTAGAACTGCATACTAATCCTAGGACCAGCACACCAAGGGAAAACCATAGTCAAATAAACAGTTGGATAATCATCAAGATATTAAAATAACCTATGAACACTGTGTGATCTCTACTGGTGTGATGTACATTTCAGGACAATAGCTCAAGCTGTTGGCTCATTCAATATGAGGGCTGATCAAAACTCTCACTACAGTTAACATAATAGCACTAAATGACCCAATTCATCACACAAGGACATTGCCTCTAACATTACCATGAAGGCACAATTATGTTGGTCTGAACCATAGCAGATTGAAAAAAAAAAAAGTTGTCTTACTTGCATTCTTTGAGGCATCTTTCAATCTATAAATCAGCATATATGCATTTGTAGAACTGTTAAGAGAAAAAAAGATGTAAGATGTCTTGTTAATGATTGCATGTGATGTAGAAATGTAGTTCTCTCAGCTCTTTGAAAAGCTTCATATTGCTTTTAATATACACGAGATAATTAACAAAGAATAAATGGGCACATCTTGATTTTCCTGATTATTGTATTCCCCAACCCAGTGCACTGTAAGCATGTGATGTCATGTGATATGAGTTGGTGTTGGAGGCAGATATGGGAGACATCTCACCTGGCAAAGGCACTGGAGTAATAGCCTCTGCTCCCTGAGGAGCCCCCATATGTCTTCCTGATATCATCTAGAGTGATCTGTCAAACAGAAGCACACTGCATGATTTCATAGATACTACTTTGTTAATGACAAGTAGAACATTAAAAAGGACACAATCTAGTTTGCTAAGCTTCAAAAGTCAAAGTCAACTTTAATGTCAATCTTACTCAGTTTGTGTTTACAGACAGAGAGATCGAAATGAAGTTTCCAACAATTCCAACGAGTGTAGTACAAACTGATGACCTAACACTGATACAGTCTGATGAGTCAAACTGCCCGACATTTAAGTGCTGAATGGACCAAACAGGTAGCTGAAGCGCTGAGGCTGACCTTGCTAACGTGCTGATCATTGAAACTGTACCACTGGCCATCAGTGAAGGATTTGATGCAGGCGTAGTAGTGGCCACCCGCAGCGCTCCCAGAGTGGACCATGACGGAGAACAGCTCAAAGGTCAGCGTGTTCTGAAAATAGACAGAGGAAATGGTATCGTTTGGAAAGAAGACATTCAGGAGAACTTTTGTAAACGCTAGGGACATTCACCATTGATAATGAATTTGCAATGGAAAGATATAAGCTAATGATATGCTATATATGTACAAATGATGCAAGCATGAACAATAAACAGAATACAGCTTGTAATAACATTTTATGCAACTCAACCACCATGAACTGCAACATGTTGGCTGGGTCATCACGTGGAGCGCGCAGTGACCAGGTTAGATAAGTAGGAGAAGTATTAGATCAGACTCTGTATCTGCAGAAACCCAATAATAAGAACTGAATTGGGGCAAAGAAACTTGAACAGGACTCCCTACTTTTGCCTTTTAACACACAGCTAACTAATGAAGGGTATTCAACACAACGACAATCCAAAATATATCTATCCGTAGTTTAAGTATTTATTTAAACAAGGACCATGCACACAAATACATTAAACTCTCAAACAAGAGGTGTTTTATGCTAGATGTTAGCCAATAGCTCATTTCCATCTGCAGTCCTTCTATTGAGCGATTCAAATGATTACCTTTGGCTTCAGCACCCTCTCCGTGCTGCCGGTGCTGTCCAGGCAGATGCCCTCGTCTACACAATCTTCAGTGGAAAAATCGTTGCTCATCTGGTCGCTGTGGCAACTGCCTTCATTCTCTGCTCCGCTGTCAGTGCAGCTCTCGGTCTGAGGCGACTTCTAGAGAGGAAGCCGTTTCAAAAACAATAATTGAGAAGGGTTCAAATGTGTCATATGCTCTTAGATCCACATGAACAAAAGAATAAACCTGTAACACATCTGGTGTTGCCTTCGTGGCCCAAATGGTGTTTGTTGGTTGTTTAATTATCAAGCCCTTTTACAGAACCACTATAAGAAACAACACCAATACAAATGATCAAGGTGTGTCATATAGTGTTCACTTACAACCAGATATAATGGTGTTGAGAGGGTAACAATTCCTATAGTAACCTGACTGTTAGTTATCCCAATGGATTATGATGGAAAATCTTCTGCTTTATTAGTTACTGCGATCATCTTAACAAAGTAACAGAAATGTTAAATGAAGTGGAGTGTGGGATATTTCTTTCTTTTTCCAGCCATAGCTTAAAATCACAACAAGTTATTGCTGATTAAGAAACGACAGAAGGACAACCATGTAAGGGTATTGATACAATGTAAATCAGAAGAAGGGATAAAAGGAGATACTGCCATCTCTGCTCCTCTCACCTCGTCCTCCACATCCATGAATGGACTCATGTCAAGCTCCTCGGGGAAAGCCATGCGGTCATTCAGCTTAATGCGGTGCATAGTGGTGTAGTCAAAGTCAAAGCGCTTCAGCTGGAGCGTCAGCAGGTAGGGGAAGTGCAGAAATCTCAGACCCTGTGTGGAGAAGCATTTATTAAAGATTCAGGCAGGTCACTAACGGGACTCTTGTCTTCACCGAGCAGAACTCCCATGTCACATTTTTAGTGAGCTCACCTTCCGGGCGTCACATTTCTTTTTGCACCGTTCACAGAAGTACTGGTTGGGCCCGTCAAGAGTTTCTGGTTGCATGAACGCATGCAAAGCTTCTTCCTGGAGGAGAAAAAGATGTTTCATTTTGATAAAAAGGTTAAAATATGAAATGGTCAAAAAACTGTACTAAAAGGTGCTGCAGAAAAGCACAGAGTTGAAGCAGGTTTGATCCAAATGTGAAAACCAAAGAGTGTTTGTTTGAGCCTTTGCTGCCAATGAGCGAAATGTTTAAAAGTGGCGAGATGACGCACCACACTGCTGTAGGCCTGGCTGGCTCCGAAGGGTCGGATCACTAGAGGGATGTCCAGGTAAGTGTCAATCCTCCAGCTCTCATAGCCACACTCCAGACAGCGTACGTAATCCTTCAGCTTCCCCTGGTACAGCTGGTTGATCAGGTCCGCCTGAGGATATGAGGCATGACAGTCAGGCCTTCTCAGCCACGTTTCAATACTAACAATACAGCATGTGTTTGGGCTTCAAAAGGTTATCGTACTTCTACACTCCCTCACATAAACGCAGCCAATTATTTGTGTGAAACTACCAAGCATCCAAAATGCATGGGTGGCTTAGTATGGATGGAACAAGAGATATATTTAATACAATTACTTTATTAATAACTTGGCCCACTCCTGTAATAATCTATGTATAGCTACGTTTGGTAAAATACAAGAAAATGTATGTGGAAACTTGTTGTTACCAAATTATTTGTAGAGTGGTCATTATAGGACAACTCAGAGAAATCTCGAGGCTCAACTTCCTTGGATCCAATGCTGGAAACTGTTTTTATTCCTTACGTAGATTTGGATAACAATGGGGGATGCATTTGTTCAACAGTTTTACTATTAACTGTTAATTGTTTATCAGTTCAAATGTTTACTTGAAGTGTTAACTTCTACAAAGTAAGCTGTACAAATATTCAAATCCATTGCAGCAGTTTGTTATTTACGATTGTTGTTGTTTTTTTATCACATGCATCTATTCTGTGCTAACAAGCATCTCATGTGTACAGAACAGGCACACTGGATCAAGTGTTTGCAGTTTATACTTTGCTCCCGAGATAAGACACAGCTAACCCAGGGGCTTGCTGGCCCATTTCCCTTCTCCCACAGTGGCTCTTTTGTTTCCAGCCCTTACAATTGGCTGCTGAACTTGTTGTTTTCAGAAGTCTAGGAAAACTTCTCGCTTTCTCCTACCTGCTCGGTCTGCTTCCACTTTTGCTCCAGGGCATCGAACATGACCCTGCACAGCTCCTGGACGTCATGCTGCTGCCAAGCTGAAAGACACAATAAGTGTAATTGAGTTTACAGATGCAGAGGCACAAGGTCTCTCCTTTTACACGTGCACGAGCCATGTGACTCTAGTCACAGGAGAGTTCAAAGGCTCACCCTCGCTGCTGTCCCAGCCGAAGCTCCGCGTCACATCGGTGGTCTCGATCGCCCGTTTCTTACTCGTCTGCAGCAGAATAAACAGCCTCTGCAGCTGGTGGGGTATGCTGGTGACTGGATCCTCCTCACTCTCCTCAAACTCCCAGCTGAAGGTTAAACAGAAGTTCAAATCAAACCTAAAGTAGTTCTTTGCAGATAAAACTTCCCATATGGCCGTTTCACACCAATGCGTTTTCAGGGCCGACTGAGCTAGAGCCTGAAAAGTAGCGGTTTTTCCTCTTCACACCGCAGCGGCGCCGCCTCTTAGCTCCGGAATCCGGTTCGTTTCCAGCTCCAAAATATTGTCGGTCTAGAAGCAAGATTCCGGAGCTAAGAGGCGGCGCCGCTTACGTCGAGGCGGGGGCAGGGGCATGGGCGGGATCAACCTCCTGAACAACAACAAAATGCCCGCGTTTTATCCAGTTTGTACACAGCGATGGAAAACCTCAAACTTAACAAGCAGCAGTGGTCCACTGAAGAGACCAGCTACCTAGTGGCAATCTGGTCTTCCGAAGAGGTACAGAGGAAACTGGAGGGGAGCGCGCGGTGCAAAGCTATTCTGCAACAATTGCAGTGAGAGATGGCAACCGCTGGTTATGACCGTAGCATTGAACAGATTGGCAACAAATTGAAAAAAATAAAGAAGGATGTGTGAGAGATTTCCACGCGGTTTGGCTTTTATGAAGCAGGCGTGTCATGACGCAAATGATGAGGCAATGACGCAGTACCACCCCGGCTCTGTGTGGTGTGGACAGAGCGGGAGCAGAAAAGGGAAACCGGAGCTGAACCAGAAAAGCGCTGGTGTGGAAGCCGCAAAAGATACCTAGAAATAGATCCTTACTTGTAGAGAGCATTTCTGAACTCGGGGGTCATGTACAGGGTTTGTAGAAGACTGTTCAAATAGCAGGTCATAGCTTGGTTGACCAGGCCCACGTAACCTACAGCAGGGAGGGAGGGGGAGACGAGTAGTAAGAGGTCAGTCAGGTTTGTATGAAGAGAGCGAGGTCACATATTGAACAGGCGACTGAGCCTCACCTGTGTCTGATTTGTTGAGGATGGAGGAGTAGGAGTAAGAGGGGCTGCTGTAGTCTCCGCTGCAGCCTGCCGTGCTGTCTCTCGGTAAGGGCCCGATGAATCGATCCTGGGAACTGTCATCCAGCCCGCTGCTATCTGCAGTTCCTGACTCTTCCTGTGCACGTAAACAGTCAGAGAGAGACCATTTTAAATTGGATATACCATACACATTCTGGAACACATCTTGTTGATAGTGTACCACTCACCGATGCAATCTGGGGCTGCTCTCCATCTTTGTCCGTGAGCTGGAGGAAATTCCTCTTATTGCCAGGCTCAAACCCAAAATCTGAGAGGGACATCTCACTGCTGTGATCCAGTGGTGCCTAGAGGGGGAAGAGTACAAACTAAAATGTAATTAAAACAATCCCTGGAGAATACAGAACAGCCCCAGAACATGCAAAGCTAGTCTGCAAACTCCATGAACTCACAGGACTAAGAGTCTCCCTGAACTCATTTTCAGCAGACTCCCTGTATCGGTGCATACAAGGAAAGTAGGGCTGCTCGATTATGGCAAAAATCATAATCTCGATTATTTGGGTCAATAATTGTAATTGCGATTATTAAATGCGATTATTCATTGACTACCCTGAACTTTAAGTATAACTCAACTGAAAGACCAACACATTTTTCTTTTATAAAAAAAACAACAAAAAAAGTAATAATAATAATAAAAAAATAATCGTTTTATTTCGATTACGTTGTTTTCGTAATCGTTGCAAGCCATAATCGTAATCGCGATTAAAATACGATTAATTGAGCGGCCCTAAAGGAAAGTAGCCTGAAGCCAACATGTGAGAAATGCTTTTATGCAATACTTTCTGTCTTTCTCCTGAGCAAGCTAAGAGCAGGCAAAGTGTTGCAGTGGAAGCATACAGGAGCTCAATCCATTGACCTACTCAGTGAGATAACACACAGCACCTGGGCTTTGGCCTGGCTCCGCAGCAGGATTAGGCTGTGCTCATTGAAGAAAAGGGAGTAGTATGTAAACGGGGACAAACTCATAGTTAACACCGAGGGGGGACACTAAGAATGTTCCCATGCATATTAAAGTACTCACTTTTAGAAATGCCATTCTTATTGACTTTATAATTCATATCAGAGAACAATAGTATGGCAAAATCCATTTTTGATAGCATAGATTATTAAAACTATAAACGCTGTCGGGTTTTTCTATCAGCTTCACTGAGTTCATGATGAGGTGACACGACCCTCCCATTGCAGCAGGGGTAATGAGTCCTAATATAAACGTCTTATAAGTGGAAGATACGTGAACTGTAAGCAGAGACAGGGAGCCATTATCATGAGGCTCCACTGCTGCACCAAACCAAGATTTGCATCTGCAGAAAAAGCTATGAACACAGCCAGATCGTGCTCTCCTCTTTTAACAATGTTGTGCATATTACCAAACAAATGCATACTTCACATCCAGTCAACTACTTAAAGTTTGTGTTGCTGGCTTCCTGACAAACAATAAATAGGTACAATGTTCCCTCTTATTTTTTCTCTACCACACCAAAGTGCAACTTTTATCCAGACGCCACCTTTTCCTCTGAGGGTAATCACAGAACTTTGCCCTCCAGCCCAGTATTACTGTTATAAACTGTTCATATATGTTGGCAGACAGAAGTGACTCTCTAGATTAACGAATTTCCTAACCATGTCCTGTGTATTTCCCCAGGCAAGGTCAAAAGTGGCTTTCACATATCCCGCTTTGTGGGCAACATCTTCATAGAGTTTGGAGAGGGGGGTGGAAGCCGGCAGATTCAGGGTCAGCCTCTCGTTGACCGTCTTTGAGCTGGTGATGTCCTGAATGATGCACAGCACTCTGGGCTCCTCAGCCGCATTTTGGATCTGAAAATCAAGAATGGCGGAAATGATTAACATGATGTGTTGGCAAAATCTCCTTTCCGTATTTTTGTGTTGCAAACACCATGTACTGGTAAAAAGCTAAGCTTTAAAACAAATAGTTAGTAAGGCTATTCAACAAATGTCTTCATTAGAAACAAGCCAGGACAGAAAAGAAAAACTCCTTCTCATGTTATGCCGCAGTAATGACACTTCTAATGGCGCATTTCCACTACAGCGCGGAGCTCGCTTTAAGCGTGCTGAGCCGTGCGGGGCCGTTTTTGGTTGCGTTTCCACTTAGCGTAGTAACGGCTAGCGGGTACTATTTCACAGTTTTTCTGGCCCCATAAAATTGAGGTTCTTTCCGGGCCAAAAACCAGGCTGAGTCAGGCTGAGTATGCTAAACTAGAGAGAGAATGGGTGGCAAGGGGGTAAGAAAGAGAGAACTGTATTCCTAACCATAACCAAGTTCCTGATTTCAATAAAAAAATTCTGTACCACATTTTTAGAGAAAGTTCCTTGTGGTTACTTGTGTTAAGAACAAATGTAACAATTTAGAAGCTTAGAAGTAAAGCTTATACTGGGCATTCAATGCATCAACAATGAGTTATGCAGAAAACAACTTAAAACTAAATGTTAAATATTATTCAAAATCTATTTAATTACTTTAAGTTAGTCTTATAGTACGCTACATGTTACTATAACTATTCATTTATGGTTATAACTTGCAATCACAGAAGAAAAAGCAATTATTTTTTTTCAACAAAACATCTGTTGTGTTGGTGACATGCAGGAGCTTTTCCCCAAAAGTGACAGCTTTGCAAAAGAAGCTTAAATGTGCTTTTCTTGTCTAAATATACCACACCTACACATGACTGGACAAGCCCAGTCACAGATCTTAATTTACAAATCTTAAAACAGAAAAACAATGACATATTGTTAATTTTCTCCAAAACTGTTCACATTCTGTTATAATAAAACCGGCCATGCAATTGCTGACACAAGCCTCTTTTTAAGAAAAAGGGTCAATTAATTCCCAGAAAAGCAAGAGTTTCAAGATGCAGCGAGGGACTCAACAACTAAACACACCCAATAGTTTGTTTTCTGATTGGTCGATGGAACAATAACTGTCAGAAAAACTCACTCAACAAGTGCTTAAGTATTAAGCATCCAAAGAAGATGACAGGTCAGTTTCTTTAGCCTCGTGTATTGGTGAGCATTTGGTATTTAAAATGACTGAACGAAGGCATAATGAAGAGATAGAATAAGAGTTAAGGCTAAGTCCTTAGCAGGGTTAGGGTTATAATATGACCTTGCCATTTTTGTCTATCTTTGGATGTGCTATCTAAATAATGAAGGAATTCCAAAATATAATCCACGAAAAATAACTGAGAGGTAATCACAACCACATCAATCCCAGTGTTTCCCCTACCATTGTCTTAGAGGGGCAACGGAGCCCCGCGCCCCCCCTGAAAGTCAAGGTGTTTCTACTGTCACTTTTCACATGTGCTCTTTTATTAAATAAACTAAAGGCTTTCATTTTAAGTTGTGAGTTTAGTGTTTTTGACCCTAAGAAACACTGATGCATTAATCAATAACAATAATCCACAGCTCCTCTCTCTGCTCCAGAGGATTTAAAAAATATAACGCAGTAAACCTAGGGGAAACACTGAATCCTATGCAGTTCCATTGATAGGGTTAAATGAAATGCTGGTGAAAATGCTGTCTTCTTAATCTTGTATACTTTTACTGGATTAGATACTGCGTGATTTAAATTACAATGCTGTCATTGCATAATAACATCATATCTTTGCTTCAAACAATATTTAATACAGATGTACTGGGGCCGTTTGGAGTTTATTTTTAAACAAACATGAGGAATACAAAAACATCCCTCTGGTATCTGTACCAAAGTAGTGTTATGTTCAAAGGGGTATTTACATTTTAAAAAATATAATAGTTTTCCAGAAATTGGTCTTTCATAGATCACAAACTCAAGTAAGGTGCACGTTTCTTATATTTATAAATCTGTTGTTTGTGACTCCTGGTGAACAATGTCATCACGATGCTGCTTCATGCATTTATTTCACACCATTCCTTATCTCTCTCTACCACTCAACACACAAGGCGTGGCTACCTGAGAGATCCTCTTTATCTCATCAAACATACTCTGTCTGCAACTCCAAAACACACCCTAAAAAGATATTTAGAGATAGTTAGGGGGAAGAACAATTTAAAACAAACACATCAAGGAAATAAGTTGTCAAACATGTCTGATTGCCTTCAAAAACAGACTGCCTTGAAGGCTTACACCAACATAACAACTTTGCCTGTGATTTATTCACGTTATACAACTTTTTCCATCCTTTTTGTGATCTTGGCAAAGGCTGATTGACAGGTCCTATAAAGTAGGAGCAGCGAGCAACACAGTAGTGTATTATGAGATTAAAGGTTATTTTTACCGTGGATATAATCACAAGGTGCTGACATGAAGCCCCGGGCAATGCGAAGCACAGACAGTATTTATTTATAGCTGTGACTGATTTTAAATGAACAAAACAAATTATGACTGGCTATAATGTTGGTAAATGCCAGCATCAATTAAATAATTTCAACACAATGTAATTAAATTACAACTGCACATGGCAGCACACAAAAAGTGAAGAAGCCAGCCACCAAATTAGAAGATTCTTTTTGTATGTATTATTGGCATGATCTGTTGGTAAATGTATGAGCACATTGACAATTAACATTTTTCACCTAAAATATGTTACGGATACAACTCTTTTGTATGTTTTTTTTTTTACTTTATTTTTTGAAACTGGCTCAATAAAATGTATCAGCTGCCTAAAATCCAATCGTTTTTAGAATGGTGAAAATTATTAAGCAGGTTTTATGCATAATTGCTTTACCTTTCAATGAAAAATATGTATCGACAAAGTACAAACATAATGTAAATATTTGAATCTAAAACATAAGGATAGTCCAGTGGCAGTAACAAAATATATTTTAATAATTGAGACAAACATCACATGTTCACGGCCTGTTTGTATTGGCTTGTTGTGACTAATACATATTTAACCATGAATAAAGTCCTTCATAATAATAAATAATGTTGTTCTTGAAATGACAGAGCATGGATATGCCAGTATTACTTCCAAACATTTGGCTTTGATCACAAACACAAAGCCATTCAGTAGCCACCTGTCATAAATGTGACAGGGTTGCATGTGATGGTGTGATTATATGACTGGGGAATATTTACTGGGAGTCTCTCTTCACAAATGTTTCATTTAATTTGGCATCAACAGAAAGCACTGAGTGTCTTCTGGTTTCCCAGAACAACACACCACTGCTCTCATCCACTTTCAACACCAAACTGCAGCTTAAATTACCTAAACTTGAGCTCATGTCTTGTTCCACAACATTAGTCAATAATTTGTAACCTTGTTGTTGCAAATGATTTCAACAACAGGACTAATACTGGAAGAGAAACTTTACTTGGTTTAAGTGAACTGTGGAATCAGCGGAGCGGAACTTATTAATAACACCAACCATTCCCCATCTTAAAATTTTTTTTCAGCAGTTAAATGGGATTTTTAAGTACTAAAATCTGAAGGACAAAGACATTTCTTCCTGCGGCCAAAATGCTGCGTAAATAAACCCGTTTCCTCCTTTCTAGCTGAATTCATTCGTGTTCAAGTGTAATTGTTTTATTTATTTTAATAGATGTATGACACATTAATACGCTGTACAGCTTCAAGCTACACTCCATCTATGAATTACATTGCTGTATGATCAGATGCAATTTTACACATCGCCCTAATGTCAACGAGTGACGTCCTATGTTTGACGTATTACTCTTCAGCTGACGTAAATGCAGCCACGGTGCCAATACAAAAACACCCATAATTTATTAACTTTTAGTAGATGTACGTGAGCACAAAATAACAAATTAATATGACTACCATTCCTGTAGCACCATCGCGGACGTTTATGACAATAACAGTTATCTTTAGCAGACATGTCAGCACCAAAACAATTTAGTAATGTTAACGATTAGTGGTGTTTACAGAAGCTATACACGATTACATTGCTACATGTTGAAAAAACATGAAAACATAGTCAAATGTAGCTTAATATATAATCGTTTAATGAAACGCTAGAATGTTGTGCGAAACATTGAGCCAAACAAGCAAATGCTAAATTACTTAAACATTGTGACGAATGGCGTTCTTCGTTCGTGGTTGCCAAAATACTAAACGCGAGACATGTTTATTCAAACATAAGGAAAAAATAAATAACTAGATGTAACGCAATAACACCTGCATCTTCAGTAGTAACGTTAGCAAGTAGCTAGCTTGCAAATCTGACCAGCTAACGTTGACTTCCCAGTAAAGCTACAAGTTCTGTTCAAAACAATCTGCAAACACGGGCCAGAAGGGGTCAAAGTATACATTATTATGAAGCTAAAATTAGGGGTAAACGTTGCTTTAACAATGTCAGTCAGCTCCAAGGATGTAGGCCTTTACATATAACTTCAATAACATATAGATGTGTTGCAATTATCCAGCCGTACAAAGCTAACGACGCTTGTTCAAGCTAATGTTACTTGCAAGTTGGCTAAGTAATGTTGACAATATCGTCTTTGTTTTGAGGTTAACATTTAAGAAATGTATACGGTTTATATTGTGAAAACAGGACATGTTAACGCTAAATAACTGAATTATAATTACGCTAAAGCTTAAAGGTACGGTCATAAACACACTTTGTCTGAGCCGCTTTACCGATGTTAGCTTTTACGTTAGTTAGCCATGTCATGATAGGCCGTCTAGTGTAGCTAACGGTTAGCAGCTAGCCTCTAAATGATACACCAAGATCACAAACTCCCAAAGTGGTGCAAAAGTATTGCTATTATTAATGAGCGTGGAATACAAGGGTGACTTTCAGAGGTTGATTCTCCAACCGGGGCAGGGTCCTCACCTCTTTGGGTACGAACTGGTTCTCCTCGCTAGGCACCATTTCCATTTGTACGACAGTTTAGACAAGCATCTATCCGGACAAGGATGTCAGCGAAAAAACTTTGCAGCGGTAAACACAAACATGGTTTGTGTTTGTCTGTTGTAAGTTAGGATGCTTGGACAACAAAATTAAACTTGCCCAAACTTGTAGGCTTATCAAAGTGATCGCAAGACTCTCGGTTACACCAACCAAGCACGAAGTGTCCTGCTAAACATGGAGAAAAATGGCCGGTGTTTTACTCCGCGAGACTTCACTCAGGAGCGAGCTTTAGCGTCACATTCCAGCCAGACAAGCGTTTGTGATGTGTGCGCAGGATGACGTCGGTGAGTGTGTGTGCGTGTGTGTGTGTGTGTTTTTTTAATTGTTTCTAAAAAGGGTACAAATGCCAGAAACACGCATAAACACTTGGTTAATGGGTAAGCTTGTATGGTATGAGAGAGTGATGCAGGGCAGCTGTGGGTTGGTTAGGGAATGCTTTCAATTTAACAATCGAGGCTGCTTCAATAGATTACAGCCATTAGGCCTACAATATATTAAATTGAGTAAAGTGCACAATATGGTTTCATGATCAGAATCTCACTTGGATGAGCACCTAAAACCATTCCATTCATAACATATTACATATAGGCCTATCATATATTTTTTTATATGAATTTGTGAATGATGACACTGTCACATTTCTCATCTGCACCATAATAGTGTTGCATGTAACCTTAAACCTGCAGATGGCATGAAATAAAACTGACATTCGATGCAACAAATGCTACTAAATGCATGGCGCAAAACATAAATAGGTGACATTTAGGGGTAGGCTACAAAGTGAGACACACATTAACACATTATATATTTTTGCATACATTGCAATGGATTTTCGGGCAGTGAGGCAGCTAAATCTATTTTTCACATTCAAACCGTGCAGCAAAAAAGGTCAAGGTTTGATAACAGTCCCCTTTCTGTATGCTTGCATGTTCTTTCAATGTTTGTTCAAGTTTATTTTTGGTGCTTCCTACCACATTCCAAAAAGTAGTTAGATGAATTGACTTTAACGTTCGTATATAAAAACACACTCATAGTGATACAGTAATCAATAGTAATTTCAAAAGTGCATTAAAAGAGTCTCAACTTTCAGTTTTATCAGAGCTTCATTATGCAGCTCAAACCTCATGTTGTAGTTACATTAATAACCATACAGGGGACTTTAATGTCAACCACTGCCTTTGAATTACATAAGCAGTATCGGTTAGATTTGTTAGTTTTTATTTTTTCATTTCTTTATTTTTCTTATGTAGCCCACTCTTCAATTCTTCCAGCCTGTGTTTTATAAACCTTCATAACTTCTGTGTATGAAAGCGTTTTTATGCAGTTTTATTTCCCTTCCTCTGCCCTTTTAAACGGTAATGTAAAGCACCTTGACTTCCCTCAGTGGATGGTATATGTTTATTAAAGGACTTTGCCTTGCCACATGCTGCCTCGTTAGTTATTACATCTGATAGCAGATTACAACAAGTATCCCTTACACATTATACATCTCAACTTTATCTCTGATTATTAGTCCCAACATTTAGTTTTAAAGTTTTTTTGGGCTGTTTTAATTTCGGCTCTCGAGAACAACAACAACAACCCAACATCAGCAGTAGAAATGTTATCTGAAGAACTCACTGGTGTGTTTATGTAATAATGTTAGGTGCACTGATGCTAAATAATTGAGACTTAATAAAGAAACTTTACCAGTCTTTTGAAGATAAAACCAACAAAGTTTATGTCCTTGTTTATTTCTATACAACCCTATCCCGAACGTCTTACATCTCATGCTGTTCAGTTTTCACCCGAGGATTTCACGTTTAACCTGATTATCTAATGAATAAAGTTACTGTAGGTTAACTTTCATAAAACAAGTTATGTTTCAATCATGAATAAGCACAGACTTGACAACACATCCTTATTTAGTGACCCGAATAAATGATCATCAAGTTGTCAACAACCACTCTGTTTCATTTAGGGAATGACATATTCACAGATGTAATTTTTGAGGCTGCGACACACCTCATCAGACCACTTTCCTTGTGCAGCCACTGAAAGAGCAACACAGCTCTCCCTCTTCGTTCCTGTGGGCTGCTTCTTGGAGCGGTCCCAGTTCAAGTAGCTGACTGGTAGACTGTTGACATCAACATACTGGCCTTCTTTCACTATGTCTGCCACACCGATCCAGAAGTCCTTGGATCCAGGGGCGCTCCTCTTTGCATAATCTTTAAGTTCATTGTTTTCCATCAAGTCCCGTGGCGTTGCAAGCGTTCCTCCTTGTGCAATGCAGTCTTCATTTGCATCATGGAAATGTTTGGGTTCCTCAACCGTGAGATAACACTTCTTGTAAGCTTTAATCCCCCGGAGACAGACTGAAAACACAGTATCGCTTCATGAGTGAATTGTATTGTAAATAATGTACATATAAGTTTTGTTTCTTTTGTAACCCCCTGTTTTCCTCCAGAAAATAAATAGAAATATAATATCCTAAACAGCGATTTATGAGTTTGTAAAATTTAGCTTTGTTTGTTTTTTCTAGCATCAACTTGGCCGCCCCACTTTAGCACTGATCTAATGAGGGCTGCTGTCCTCTGCTGGACACTCAGCACACTAAGAAGTTCAAAATCATTTTTTTTTAGAAACCAAATATATCTTTGCAAAGTCCACACTCTTGCATTTCAGCGCATTAGCCTGAATTCACAAGTAAAAGTGAAGAAAAGCACCAAAATATACCTAAAACACAAATCAAATAATTAGCCAACCATCGCATGCTTTACTTCTCGTTCAATAAACATACTAAATAGTGCAGTGATGCTTTTGCATTTGATCTATTACTGTAACCCCCTCTGTCTTTAATCTTCCTTCCATTAGGGCAATACCTGTCTGCAACGCCTGCATTTCCTTCAGTAAATTCACCTCCTGCCACAACCTCTCCAGCTGGGACTTAACATCATCTTCTTCTGCAGCTGTATCTCGGCAAAGAGGCAAAAAAAAAAGGTCAGAAGAACATCAATATCAAGAACATTGTTAATGAACTATGTGAGTAATTATACCTCCGGACTGACGGGGTGATGCAGCTTTCCTGGTGCGAGATGGGCGACTGGAGCTGAAATGAATCAAAGAAAGGCAAAGAACGAGGAGAACAGGGATGGCCAGACGTGCCATATCTGAGACCTGTGGATCCTACAGTGACAGGACACAGTTGCACACCTTGTACTTCTCCGAAAGGAACCAAAAACACTGCAGGCAGCTCGATATATACTGGCCCTTCTGTATGCCTTGCTGGGTATGCTCCCTGCATTGGCTCTAACTCTGTTTTAGTCCAAACATCAGGAGGAGGTGAGAGGGGTATAAGGGTGGAGTGGCAAATAATGATGTACTTGTGTCTAGCATTTGATAAATATTTACTTGGAACAAGGTGCACCAAGCAGTAGTCCCTTTCAGTTCAGAAACAAACTGGGAATGCATTGACTACTTCTCCATTACAGAGTGTTGAAGACATGCTAAGACACTTTTTTCTACAAAGAATATTCCACCTCATTATCACCTGTGTATATATATATATATATACACACACATATAAGTGGTCTTCATCTACTGCAAAAACCATCATTTACAACTTCCAGTATATGAAAACAAATAACCAGGTCAATTTTGCAGCTAAATATGGACTATAAATATTTGTTCAATCACACAGACTTGCAGTTATGTAATGATTCAAAAATAAAGCTTCTATTAAACCAGAGGAAGTCCAGCTGAGGTGCAGGCAAAGCTATTTTTAGAGTGAGATGTTGTATACAAATGGGAGGGGGAGCTAAATAAGGAAAACCCTTGGGCATACAGGCTCAGTATAGCAGTTCAACTATCAAATCTAATCTTCAAATGTTGCACTCTCCAAATTATACATTTAAAATGAGGCCTCCTTCAAGTGACAAATGTATCAATAGTATTCTTAGTATAATAGAAATGCAGTTATAAGACCCTAACTTAGAGAAGAGGCACAGTTCTTGCTTAGTTTGCACACAGTGTTCAGAATATTTGCCAACAGTACATGCATTGACTGGTTATATACCTGTAAACATAATTGAAAAGGTCAACAGTGCAGTACTGTTGGAACAAATAATGTATTAGATGGCAGCTTTTCTCTTTTGGGGCACATATTTTAAAAAAGGCCTGACTTTGTTGCCAAACTGAGGGACTGTGCAGAATATGCAGTATAATTTGATACCCTGGTGATACCATGCTTATGTAGACCGAAAAACATTTTACATCCCAATGTTATCACGGAGTTCGATTATTATTTTAATCCAGGTAAATGCAAATGTTCCACATAACATACCATTGGTGTAATACCTCAATAAAATTAAAATAAATTAACTGAGAGAAATCAGAATACTTGCAGATACATTTATTCAATTAAACAGAGTTGTACTCAAAGAAGGTTCACACCAGAAAATGTGGCAAAAATATATACGACCACAGGTAAACCAGAGTTTATAAGGAGATTGTGAACACATTATGATGTTTAACACTTTTATAGACATGTTTTTTTTTTACAAGGCAAATTATGAAAACGCACACACAGGCAAACACACACAAATAAAAAGGCCTGACAATGATATTGAGATGTATTTCCATAGTGTCTAAAAACAATTATCCATACTTATCTATACTCAAGTCTACATATAAATTCTAAAAATACTTATTCCATCACTTCTGTGCCCATTAACACTGTCTATCCACCATTTATCATTCATCTTTGAAGCATGCAGCCTGTTAGTTTGCACATTGACATTTTTTTTAAAGGCATAAGGAAAGACTGATTTAATTGTTTTAATTGTTGAGAAAAATACTTTTTTGATATATAATCCAGCTTTGTTTTTATAATTCAAGTGAAGAAATAAATAGTTCAAATGACTAGTCAATATGCTGTATAAGCAAGGCCCCAAAACAATTATGTTTTAATTACAAATAAAACCAGATCAGTTATTAGAATATGTGTGGACATTTCATAGAAACTGGCAGAGTAAAGCAGAGGGCATCGTTATTATGTAAAATAATACACAGTGTTTTTCAGACCTGAATCACCCTGCTTTTAAACACCTGATCATTGCAAAAATAGTTTATGGCACTTTTTCTTTGTGAGGCACCAGCAAGTAAACAATTTCGGTCAGACAAGTAAAAGCAGAGACTCCACAAATGCTTGACTTACACGCTGCCTGAGAATACTCTGAATTTACCGATTTATATCATGTTCTCTTGCATTTAGATATTTTATTATATAATGTTTGTGACCTTCAAAGTGTATGCAACACTGTGGCATTGTATAGATTTGACATCTGAATAAATGTCCAGTGGAAGATTTTTAAATGTTTTTATAATGTGAACTTTACTTCTTCTTTACACTTGTTGGTGGGCTAAAGGCACTGGTGATCCTGTGATATATTACAAGGTTGGCAGGAACCTAAGATACAAATATCAAGCAAATATCTACTGTACACACATACCTTTCTACCACTGGTGGCTACCACATCACTGCATTTAAATATTCCACATGCCAATCGTTTTCCTTATACAGCTGTCATCACTGAAAAAGGTGAATATTAAATTACACTTTCTTATTCTTTTTTTTAGACAGGGTAGGGTTGTTATGCTACATGACATTGATCGTAAGTATGTTTTTAAGGGTACTAATCCTAACCATGTTTCCAGGCTTAAATGCTTTTTCAGTCAATAAACTGTTTGTGGATGCAATTAATAGAGAAATGGACACAAAGCTAATCAAATTATTGGCTAGCATAACGTCATAATACCGTAAAGAATATAAAAATACTAGATGGACAATGGCACTTCCACCTGCCTGTCTGTGTTAGAGAAAATGTTGTTAGGTCTCTGTTTTCACAATAATTTTGCTCGAACATTTAACTGACAAACAATAAGTAACAAACAAATATTGTACATAAATCCAGTCATGCATGCATGCATACAGCACATGCATACAGCACATACTGCTCAACACTTGTGTGGTGAATGCCTCTTCAGTCTCTGGGCGTGTAGCCGGGAGGTTTAATGGATGAAGGGCATTCGCTCCTTGCTGTCATTGTCTCCCTCTGGCTCCTCTTCCTCCTCTCCAGCCTCACTGGTCTCTGTGCTGTCACTGGCCATCTAGTGGTAAGATATTATTCAGCTGTCATTACTAAGCTACCATTCAGAGAAACAGAGGTGAAAACAAATGAAAGATGACATCAAACAGTACAGTCAATAAGTAAATACTCTTTCTAGTAACGGGCAACTGCTTACAGGGTCGATGCTCTTCATATGATCAGGTCGATACATATTACTGTTTCTAGGTTTATTATTGAGACCACCATAGAAACAGCTAGAGGAAATTCCACACACTGCCTCGTTCTGACACTGACCAGTCCTAAAAAATGTGCTGTAGGCTTTAGAAATGTCAGATGTGACTATTTAAAAACAACCAACATATTGGTATGTTTACATTGGCTGAAAATGTGTTTTTGAATAAATCTGTATTTAAAATTAGCCCTACATTGGCCAAATGAATAAGATCAGGCAGAAATGCAAGGAATCTTTCTTCCAATAACTTGTTGGAAGTCATCCAAACTAGTTTTATAATATGCATACTTTTACCAATTTACCAATCTGCCAATTTATTTCCATCTTCTTCCTCTCTGCTCTTCCTCCTGTCAGTCATGTACCCTTGAATATAAATGTGATATAATAATTACATGATAAAATTAGTTTTTTATTTTATATTTCTAACTGTCTCATAAGTCTTTGCTTGTATCTTGTAATGATACTAACAATAGAAGCTAAAAGCTGTTACTTTAAATAATACTTTAATAATGTTAAATGTTCAATTTATAGACGTATTTTATGTTTTTACTATTATACTATTGCATACATACATTGCATTTGATCAGCCACTCTTTGGGTGTTTGTCATTCTGTGCTCGTCCTGTAGAGGATGTTAGAGCAACTGGTTTCAGCTGGCAGACTTCTCTTTGGTGGACAATTTCCATTAATATACACAATACACTGATTACTTTACTATCCACAGCCCATACTTTATTTACTTGATTCATTAATTTGAATAAATAATATATTTAGTTTAAATGCCATCATGTGGATTAATTTTCTATTTATGTAGGAATGTATTTCTAAGATAAGATCAATCCACATGTATGAATGGAGCCCCTTCTATTGATGTTTGTTTTCTGATAACTTTAGAAAAGAAAAAACACATTCAAATGTTACCAGAGGGGTGGGAGACTTCTCGACATCCAGAATGAGTTTTCCTACGTTGCCTCTGTCATGAATTCTCTGCATGGCCTCTTTTACCTGAGAATAAAACACAACATTTAACTAACATTAATAAGCAGAAGTGTTGAACAAACAAATATATTAAAATAACCTAAAGTGTAACATTACACATTAGGGCAGAAACTTTGTTTTCTTTCAGAAATAAATCATAAAGATATGGACAGTACAGATTGACTCATCAAGTATCTCATACTAACAAAAGAGAGAGAAGCGCTTAAAACCTAGGAAAGTGCAATGAGACTTCCTGGTCTGTAGCCTATAGAAACATCCGTCAACAATATGTTTTATGAGCTGACATTTTGCTTTGTTATCTGACCAGTTAACGTCAGCTTTAGAACATTTGAGCTATTGTCCATAATTGTTCATCACCTGCAGTTTTATTACTACATGCTGAGTGGTGGAAGAATAGGAGAAGAGGGACAAGTGCTTTATGCTTTTCTCCATCTCAACAATACATTGCAGATTTAATGCCTCAAAATGTGGTAGAGTATTAAAACATATCACAACAAGTGTTTATCAAAATGGTTATTCTGGAATTAAAAAGAACCAACAATGACTTAAACTTCAACTGGAACAGGTTTTGTCCTTAGGTTTTACATTACATTCCATCTGTGGCCATTGCCCAAAAAACACTACTAACATTTATGAAAAGCTAGCAAACTTGACCTTTTTTGATCCACATCAGACAAAAACACCTCGCAGGTCAGAACTTGTTAAATCAAACATCATCGCAAGCTTGTCCGACTGAATTAGGTAGAAAAATAATTCACACACCAAACCATTACTCAGTATGTCATATCTTGTTTTCTCATTACAATCCAC